CTCAAAAATTGCAACAACAAAAAAAATCATCTTAACGAAAACGAGGAGGAGATCTGGATGCTCCATGCTCATCTTAAATATAAGAGTGATGCCTAATTATATAGATTAAAAAAATTAAGTAAAAATTTTCTTTAAAGTATCTCTTCTCATTATTTACATTAAATCCACCTCCATTAAACTCTGTTAATATATATGTGCTAGTTTGGGGAAAAAAATTAAAAATTTAGAAACAAAATGAATTCACATTTTACATTTTATATTTAGAATTAAAATAAATTTTCAATTAACTCTTATGTTTGGGATATTATGTTTTTCAAAAGAAAACAACACCTTAAAATTCAGGGTAGAGGCCCCATGTCAGATGATAATCAAAACCATCCATATATCACTAGAAACTAGAAAAGAAACAATATTGAAAAGATTTGACTTGGACAATCAGATGAAGGCATATGATATTAGCAGAGCAGGCATGAGAAAATTCTTATAGTGTGCTAGTAACCTGTTCCTCGCGTAGCAGAAGATGCAGAGATCTCTATTAACAAAGCAATTCACAAAGGAAGATTGGAGAACTTGATTTACTGATATGGAGCTATCCATCCGCCATTGAGAACTGGCATTAAGCAAGTCCTTGTGAATTCCAAGAATCAGTAAAGAAATCAGTCATATAGGCTTTTTGACTGACAATCATTAATGCCATTGCTGAACCTGGATCTAAATTAAATCCCATCGTTATAGCCAGTGGTTCAACTTTAGTTCTTCTCATGATGCACAGCTTCGTTCCTGCGTTTCCAGATGGCACAGAGAATAACAACTCAGTGCTCGAGAACAAAAGTGTTCGAATGTTGGGTGAATTAGAGACCTGATCCGGGGAGCGAATTAGAGAAATCGCTGTGCTTCCATGTAAAAATTTTATTAATTGCGATGAGCGTGGATCGAACACACGACCTTCAGATCTCGCTCTCCCAACTGAGCTATCCTCGCTTCATGCTTGCTTAGAGGGTATTTAGCTATTGTTAAAAATACTTCTTAAAAATATATTTTGTAAGACAAAACAAACTTTTTTAAATATTTATTTTGTAAATCATAAAAATATTTTTAAAATTATTATTTGGTTTTATCCGAATAGCTGTTTTGTTCTTTTTCATGGAGACCCGATGGCACCAAATCTCAAATTCGGGTCGACCCGTGCCCAACCTGCTGACATCTTCGTCGAGCTTGATCCGAAACTCGTGCGTGGCTGAACCAAAACATCGTAGTAGGCAGTGTGTTACCACTGCCACGCCAAGATCTGTTCGCTGTGATTCTAGTTGCAATGTACGCCTCAAAGTTTCCTTCTTTCTTTGTTTTTCTCGTCTGGATCAGATCTATTTTGGTCGTTGATTTGAACGCAATGCTTCTTGGAGAGTAGCGTTTTGCCTATCTAGGGTTTGCAATTCGCTGCAATTTTATCTTTTTTGTTTTGGACGTTCTGTTTTGTTATCACAAGTTCAATAAATAGATGGTGATGCTGATTCGGGAACACGTTTTGCACTCCTCGCATAGGTTTCATTACTGCTCAATTAATGGAAAATTGATCTCATAGGAATTAAACACTGGAGTGCATATGTTGGGATTTTTCTCTGGCTGATCCTTGATTTTCTGATTTAGTTTAAGGAAGCTTCTTACTGTGTATTTCTTTGCAGTTGCTGAAATTGGGTTCTGGCTGTCATTTTGATGTATTTTTCCCCTTCCCTTGGTGGCCTAAAGTTTGTTAAATTTGTGCATTTATCCTTCTTAATATACTATTAATATTAATCTGATTTCTAAATTTGATTTGGCCAATGAATTGGATTCTGCTCCTCCATACTTAAAAATGATCCCTTATACCCTTGGGAAGCCACCATATTGTATTTGCATTTATCATATTTTCTCCTACACTCATACAGAAGGATGTAATACTACTGCAGAAGAAGCTTTAGATAAATTTCATTATATATTTGATGTCTAAGGTTTTATGGGTGCCGAATTCATGGTTTTCAGAATGTGTAAAGTTTTGGATGGTGTCTCATGAACATTACAACCAGTTTTGAAATTTGTCTGCTCTCTGTTTTTTTTTCCTTTTTTCCCCCTCCGGGGGTTTTTACATGACTTTTCTACCAGACATGCAGACTCATAATCTGTTTTATTGTAAATTTAGGGCTGACGAAGAACCTGTTGATCAGAAGAGATATTATGAGGACTCTTGCAAACCGAAGTGTGTGAAACCATTAATTGAATATCAGGTTAGCGTTTTGAATTACATTTCTTTGATCATATGTTTGTTTAATTGAGGTTGAGGACTTGAGTCAAAAATGATCTGCTTTTGCTTCTTACTGAATAACTGTTATTTGATTTTACAATTATTTTTTAATTAATTTTCTTGTGCTAAAGGCAAAGTGGCCAAATTGCTAAGTGCATCTATCAAACCAAAATCTTATTGCACGCTTATGAGACATAATGATATTATTCATTGACCTTTGCTTAGATAGACAAGAGTCCCAACTCACCATTCAAATAATACAAAGAAAGGAGGTTTATATTGTCTGTAGAATACAAGAGAAGAAAAAACCCATCCAAAGAAATGAAATTATTGCAACTCTTGCTGGAGTATGGAACAACACACATATTGATATAATAGTTGAATAGATGCCGTGAGTTGTGATGATGAAGAACGTAATTTGCGAGTTAAAACCTGTTGTTGTTTATTCTCCATTCCACCTTCAGGAACGAGGATCATTTTGAAGTCCCCGAGCGACATTGTTAATCCTTCATTCTTCCTTATCTTCTATTTATTCAGATGTAATTGTTACTTTTCTGTAAAGTAATCCGACTTAGCAAGGTTGGTCTGCATGGTGAAACATGATGGGCAGTTGAACCATTGGGTTCAGGGTTTGAATGCGAGCACCATCATATTGATGATTGCTGTAAAGTTAACCCCCTTCTACTTGCTACAGGCATGCATTAAAAGAATCGGAGGTGATGATTCCGGGCACAAACACTGCACCGGGCAATATTTTGATTATTGGTCATGTGTTGACAAATGTGTACGTATTACTTTATAATTCTATTATCAAACTTTTCGCTGTATGCTTTTACATATTCTGTACTAAACTTTAATCATACAATGCAGGTTGCACCAAAGCTATTCTCCAAACTGAAGTAACGGGAGAGACTTTAGTGTATCACCAGCTTCTCAGATTTTTCATTTTCAAATAACTACTCCTAGACACTTGATTTTGGACTCAAAAACCATACGCCTGCATGTATGGGCTTTTGCTGTGGTTGCTACGAAATTTTTAAAACAGGGTAACCTTAGATATTGATTAATAAAATCCTGTGAAATTGTATCTCTTGGAAAGTTTTGACTTTGGAAGGTTGGATCCAATATTGAGTTTTTGGTGTTGATGATTCTGACCTGTTGAATAAGTGGGTTTGTTGTAATATCTGAATTGTGCGTCACAGCTGCTCTACATATGCCAAGATACTCAGATTTTGTCTGTTTTTCATCGTGCACACATGTATTCAGAGTCATCTCTCTAAAACTTGAAGAATATCATATGGCCAGTGTTCTGCCGATAAATGCACGTTTTCTTTCAAATTTAGCATTACACAAGGATTATACACTTAAATTTTGCAAGGATCATGTAACAACTGAGGAAAATGAAACACTTGCATCAGAAGTCCATGTCTGATTTTTACTGACAAAATGCTAACTGACTACCAAAGGGACGACAACAAAGTGCGCGCTGCACACACGACACCCAGACTGCCACAGGAGCCATCAGTAACTCTAAGCCTCCAAGTCCAATTGTGTAATAGTAGAGGAGGAAGCCGAACCACCTTGATTTCTAAACCTCCAAGTTCAATTTGGTGTTAAATACTCTTCTGGTCCTAAATATAAGACTCTTTTTGTAATGTAATTTATACTACAAAAGAGGTTTTATATTTAGGATCGGAGGAATATGAAATTTCAATATATTTTATCTCTCGTATTTATCTACTTTTTTCAATATAATCATATATTAGTTACACATGTTAAAATTTTATCAAATAGTAATTGTAGATAACACACACATAATTAATAAGGGTATTTAAAAAAAATACTTTTTTATTATAAATAACTAATTTAATAAACTATTTTAATTTATTCAAATTAGCCAACTAGTTCTTATATTAAAAACCAGAGGTAGGAGTTGTTAGAGAGGTACCAACCAAAACAACCCTTTTTCATAGTTGCTGCAACCCAATCTGTAGTTTTGTTAACTTCTCTTTGAAACTAGAAAACAAGAAACTTGCCTAAAGATCCTACAAGGTTCAACACGTGCAGCATTAAGCTGCTACAAAACCACTCACCGCTCAAGACATTAATTCAGAAATGAGCTTACAATCTGTCTCAACAATAAATGAATCCTGAAGCAAATTCGTGGTCATCAATACGGCGTGCCCAAGAGACCCATTCAGATATCTGCAATTCACTGATACAGCAAAACCTTAAACCAGAATGCCAGTTCCTTTTCTTGTCATTTCCTTCAATTATAAGAACCATTCACAATCTAATTTCAATTGAGACATAATAATGGTTCCCATACCAAATTGATACACTGAGGTCTAGCACAAGGGGATTCCAAATTCCACTGCTTCACCAATAATTCTAACAGCATCAATCTCTGTATCCTGATATGAATCCTCATATTCAACATATTGGGCAAAGAGGAGTAGAGGACCAATCACAATATTTCCTTTTGTTGAGACCGTCTCGAGGGTCAAGGCATTATTCAAAGTCCGCCACAAAAAAAAAAGAAAAAGAAAAAGAAATATCTTAATAAATATTTTTATTTATCAATAAAAAGGTATTTATCCTGGCTAAAATCTCTTTTTAATTTTATTCTTTATGCCGTCACTTTATCTTATTCTTTTATTCTTTATGATGCTTGATTGATTCTTTCATTCTTCTTGTGATTCTGTTCATTCCTTGATTTTTGAATCAAACTTGATGGAATCCCACTCGCGTTCGAGGGCGTGACCGTTAAACGTTCAATGGCTTCTGAATTGTGTACATGGAAATAAAACCCTAATAACAGATTTTAATCCTTCGGATGAGCCTGTGCACAGACTTCGCTGACGATTCGTCTCTCCCATCATCAGATTAGGCCTCACCGATGATCGATGTTATCGGTACTTCCTCGACGATGAAGCTGCTTCAACCGGAGAAACGAATAGAGCAACACCGACAAAGTCCCATCAAGGTCCCGGACAATCTCAAGTTTCGTGGCTCGGAATCTCAAGGCCGTGAAGAACCTGAAAACCCATTACAATCGCAGAAGAAAACTAGGGATTTGCCCAATTTGAACAAATGCCATGCGTGTGGCTTCATAGTTGACGTTTGCGCTGGTAAGAAGAGACTCCACATCCTTAATAGCGAGTGGCGCATAGTTCTTCTCTGCAAAAATTGTCTTTCATCCATTAAATCTTCAAGAATGTGCTCGTATTGTTTTTCCGAATCGTCTGCGGATTGTTTTTGTTGTGAGCAATGTAAGCATTCTGTTCATAAAAAGTGCTTTTCCAAGTATAAAGACACTGCTCCATGGTCTTATGCTTGTTCTGGGTCGGAATTTTCTGTTTGTGTGGATTGTTGGGTTCCCAAATCAGTGGTTATTTCAAGAAAAAGAATGAAGACTGGGAAGGTTAAGAAAAAGGATAGGATTGTATTGGAAAAGGATGCTTCTAGGTTTTCGGATGATGGAAATTCTGCGGTTTCATTAGAGGATGTGGTTAAGGATGCAAATCTTGTGGTAGACGAGAAGGTTGAGGCTGCTGCTAGGGCTAGAGACGAGGCTGTTAAGAAGGCTGTGGTTGCTAGAAGAGCAGTCGAGGCTGCAAATAGTGCTTTAAGTTTAGTACCAAGGGGAGATGAGAACAGTTTAAACGAGCGCCTCAAAATGGGTGCTGATAAGGTTGTTGAGTTGTATCCTCCCGTAAGTAGCTCTCCGTCTAGTTGCTGCTTATTCAATTCAAGTTACTTAGATACTGCAAAGGCGGGGACTTCTAGTTCTGATTCACCTTGCATGAGGTCTAACCCAAGCAATTCAAGTGATTTTTTGAAGCATGAAGTTTCTAGTGATAATAACATGCACAAGGACTCCCATAAATATGTAATGAAACCTTCAGTTTGTATGGATGGGAGTGACAAGAGAACCAGTTCGAATGAAGGAAAGTGCATGGTTGATTGTGATTCAAAAGAAGAGATTGGAGAAGAGTTGATGAAGGAAGGGGAGGGAAGTTGTTCCGACAGGCAGATAAGTGGATATTACATATTGAATCTTGATCGCAAGCAAACAGAGACTGCGTTGCCTGGGGAAGAAAGATGCAATGGACAGCCTGACCGCTATTTCTTGAAATATAGAAGGAGAGTTTGTAGGTTAAAACCAATCTCAGATAGTAAACCAAAAATCCTCCACAGTAACAATGACACTAATCTTGAGAGTCAGGGCTCAGCTACTGAGGTTCCATTGAGTTGTTCTTGGGAATTGAGAACGTTATCTAATGGTTAATTCCAGTCATTTCATGCTCCTTTGCAAGCATCTGCTTATGAAGTGGATATTCCAAGATCCATCTTGAAAGGGCACAGGTACAGAAAGTTTATCCTTTCCCACTTATTGTTGTGAATTTATGGCCTTGCTTTTTTTCTTAACAAATTGTGTTTGTTATTATTCTGTATCCTTGTTGACATTCTAACATGTTACGTTCATTTTGTACTTTTGCTGCTCATATATTTTCTGTCATCATGCCAAAGCCTGAGTCTTTCTATTTTGACACTTGGAAAATGTGGTATTATTCACAGGATTCCTCAGATTTGATATTTCTTTCTACTGCTGGCTATTTGTTGATATTTTTGTATTATATCTTGCTTGAAAATTTCTTTACCCTCTTCCTGGATATGCCTGAGATTGTTTACAACGGGCACCTTATAACGAAGCAAACGTTGAAAGAATGTGATTGGGTCTGTGAGCTAACTTGCTTGACTTGCTGAACGATGTAGGTTAGGATGAACAAATTTGTATACGGTTTACATGGGGGCAAGAAAACTGTTTACATGAGGGCCTTTTTGCCACTATCTGGTTTGGCCCTCTGGTTCGTGCTGGCTGGCTGTACTATTGCGGGCTATTCTGCAAGATGCTAATTTTAACATGCAAATTTATGCTTGATTTGTTATTCTTGTGTTGTTATTTTGCTCTGGATGTAAAACCTATTATGATATAAATGTCACGTTATTAAAATCACTGATAGCATGTAACAGAACTCTGGCACTACATAATTAGATCGAATGAGGTGGGGATCGTAGGAAATGTTTATAGCTTTGACAACCTTGTATAAAAATTATAATTCTTCTAGTTATTATCGTTTATTCTTTTATTTTGCTAATAATTAAGACTAATGCTGATTCATCCTTTTTATGCTTGCCTCCTTTTTTACGTAGTTGACTGGAATGCCATCTAACGTGTTAACATCGAAATGGGTACAAAAGTCTACCCTAATGGAGCAGAAGACTTACCACTGGCCTTGTTTTTTCAAGTGTTTAAAAAGACCTTGGGCGATTAGCATTGATTTCTTGCAGTTCCAATCACCATACCAGGTTGGGTTTCATGAAAGTTGACAAGTTATTGATATAGCAGGTAAAGCAGATAGCCTTCCACGTGGGAGATGCTTGTTCTTTTTTCAAGATGTAATTTTGGTCTTTGTAAAAAGTTGGAATCCCCTTTGCCCTCTTTTTGTCTGTCTTCCTTTCAGTTTGAGGCTTTCTGTAATCTTTTACATTCTTTTGTAGAACGTCCTCACCTGTGTGTCATTCTGTATAGTTAGTTAGTTACAGTTCTGCAATTCCACTTATGTTCAATAGCTGCTTGAATTATGCTAGCTCTGTATCATGAGTTGAATGTTTCTTACTTTAAATGATGAATTGATCAGTTTACTTGTACTGAAAATGAGATCTGACCGTAGAAAAGTGAAATTTTACTCGATATGCTGGCAAAGCGAACCTCAAAATTCGATCAGTCTGTGTAGACAAAAAGTAGAATTTTTGTTGTTTGATATGGAGCTTTTGTTTTACAGAAAGCTTATCATGGTTATTTTGTTTCCTCGCATGGTTCTGCGATATGGGATGTTTCTTTGTTGGTTAACCTGATAATGTGGAAACGAGGCATGAAAATTCGTTCAGGCCAGAAATTCAAATAACGATGCCAAACCAACCAATCAGAGGATGTTAAGGGACAAGTCAATTGCTTGTTACTCCTCTAATCCTGTTTATAATGCAAAAGGAGAAGATATTTTTTCGTCCTCTTTATAAGGTACTGAGGGAAATTTTTTATATACATGTATAATTTTATTCTTTATTTATTATTGTGTTGGTTTTATTTACACAAGGTATAATATATATTAAATATGGATAAAGTTAGATAGTTGAATTTTAAATGAGAGTTAATGATCTTTAAAGTTTTTTTTAATTTGTGTGAAATATATTGGAAGTGAGTTATAAATAGGATCAGATAAATACTTGAATGAAAAACCTGTTATCACATACCAAAGCATGCAGGGGACAAAAAATTATTCCTTCGGCTACAAGGGACAAACTAGGAACTAAGCGTCTATCAGTAAATCAATTAGAAATTTGTTTTAAATGCCTTGAATTGAATATTCACTCACTTCATATGGCAACCACATGCCATTCGCTGAAACAACTATGAAATAATGCCTCAGAACAGACATTAGGGACAATATTTCCAATCTTAAATACCTGGCACATACAAATAATTGAATTGCAGTATCAGTAACAGTCAGTTCATCTGACTTTTCATCTATTTCTTGTTTTAAAGCCTCGAGCCCAATATTACTTGTAGATAGTGTGACCCCCTAAACTTTGTTTTATATTGATTAACTCTTTTGCTATGCTGACTTTTTAAATACGAACTTTGACATTAAATATTTTACAGGGAAGGAATTATATCATGAGAATTGAGGTTCTAAAGTTTTGGAAGCATACTTCCACTATAAATGGGCCGGAATCTAGAGAGTTGCTTGGAGCATTTTGACTCTTCTGAACTTGTTTGGTTGATCCTCATCAACTTGTTTATATTCATAGTACAGAAAGAGAGAGAGATGTCACCCTTCCTTACTTTGGCTAACTCCTTTAGCTGGTAATTTAATTCTTTTTTGTTAAAATCTAAATCATCCAAAATTTTATACTATTCACTATTCTAGATTTGACCCAAGCCTCAGAAATTCGGCGCATTGTGTTTGTCAAAATTTTCAAGATGCTGAATAAAAGTTAATGAAAACCAGGGGTGAGTCCACTGTCTGCATTAGGTGCTCATTGATGAACAACTGATGCTCAGCCTTGAAACAGTGCTGTCGCGCCATTTTAACTTTGAGCAGGCACCCCCTCCCATGTGGTCTCCACTTCCTCATCCTTCCATTTCTCTTCTTCATTTTTTTTTTATTTTAAACATCTCTATAGTAAAACAAATAAAAATTGCAGTTTTTTTCTAAAAAAAATTATTATATACTCTTCTAGTTCTATTTATAATATATAAATTTTTTTGTCCTATTTACAAGTTACACCATTAAATTTTTTGCATAAATATATAATTTTATTTTTTTTATTACTTTGTCCATTCTTATTTATACGCTTCAAATTGGGAGAGATATGTGTCCCTTTTTATAAGTTTCAATTTACATTTGTCTTAATATTTAATATTTTTTTAAAATTTTGTCTTTAACTATTTATTCCTTTTCTTTTACCAAGCTCTTTTTTTATTTATTGTCTCTCCCACTTACTTTTTTTTAAAAAAATAAATAAGAACATATTTAGAAAAATAAGTATATTTTTTCACCTATTAATTTCTTTTAACTGCCTTTTTTTTGTGATATGCAAATCGATTATTTAGAGCTTACAAAGAATGAGTATTATGTGAACTTTAGATTGTAGGGGTAAAATGCTCCCTCCTGTTCAAAATATAAGTTTCAAAATTTTGAAGGGATCTGTTTTTTTAATAAGTTTTAATTTGAATTTATGTGATTATTTAATTATTTTTTATATGTTTACCTCTAATTAGTTATATGCCTTTTTTATCTACTTTTTCCACTCATTTTGCGTGTTCTAGGAAAAAAAATTATTTTACATATTTATTATTTTTAATCAATTTTAAAAACTTTTCAAGTTGTGTAATTTAGTTATTTCGAGCTTATATTTTAAATTGGAAGAAGTAACTTATAAATTTTAAGATAAAGTTAATGAGTGTCAAGATTTTTTTTTGATCAAACATGTTAAAAGTAATTTATAAATAGGACCAAAAGAATATATAACAATTTTTAATTAATTTAATATACACTTTATCTTGACAGTAGTACAGTACAAAAGACATAATAACACATTAAAGGTAAAATTGATACTTCTGTAAAAAAAATTAATGATATGACCTATAAATAAGGCAAAAAAATTTCTCTTTACCTTATAAATAAGACTAGAGGAGTGTATGATAATTTTTAAGAAACTACAATGTTTAATTTTTTTTTAATCATAAAGGTGTTTAAAATAGTTGGCAAAAAACGAAATGTTGAGAATAAAAAGAAGAAGCTGGCAAGAAAAAATAAAAAAGAGACAAGGACGAGGGAGGTTACATAATCATTGTAAATGAAATATCATCACAGACACTTCAAAATCTTCAAACAGTTCTTTTCATTTTTCGTAAATAATGACGGAAATATATAAAATGCAAGACATGCATGGTTCTGCATGGCTTTCACCAGGAGTCACTTCGGCTCCATAAACCTTCAGAGATAATGAGATTGCACCCATCTCTCATGGGTCGACTTTGGAGCTGCATCTTCAGCGATTCAGAGGGCACTATTAGTTGTACCTCTCGTAAGAAAGTCAAGGACCAGAGCTCGTCAGGGAGAGCAGCCAACCTGCAGCAATCTTCAATGACCAAACGTCTGAGACATGGCATTACATCTTTACCGAATTCCCAGTGATAGAACTTCCGCAAACCTGTCATTTGAAATACCTCTAGTTGGGGAAACCCATTAATGCAACAGAGCTCTAACTTAGACCTTGAGGCTTCTAGAAACTCACAATAACGTAGTTTCAAAATCCTGAGGTTGGTAAGACTCCCTAACATGCTCATGACATTGCTATTCAAGTTGGTCCTTGAGATTGCTAGCTTGGTAAGGTTGGAAGGAAAGGCATTGACAGATGTCGGAATATCAGGAAAGCCATATATCTTCAATGTATTAAGATGATTTAGGTTTGGAAGGTATTCCCACACTTGGCCAACTCCTTGTTTATGCTTGTCCTCTTCCCAAAAGAACAAACCCAGTTTCCTAAGCTTTGGGAAAACACCTTTTCCTATTAGAGACACAGCGGCTGATTTTTTGTTTACGGCAACACGGGATAAGGTTTGTAGATTCCACATGGTCTTATTTTCTACATTTGGAAACTTAGGTAAAATCACAGGTCCACGCGTATGAAGATGTCTCAGTCTCTTAAGCTTCCACATTCCACTAGGGAAGGTTAAGGATGTCACAGGTATAGGACGCCCCAAGTCCAAAGTTTCTAGATTCCATAGATTGCATATGGATTCAGGAATCATGGCTGATCCTCGATAAAGGCTTGGTTGCTTGTCTATTCTTAAGTACCTTATATGCACTAACATGTTTAAGTTGGCAGGCATCTTAAACTTACAAAACAATGGAAGCCGTAGATCCAACACTCGAACAAGTTGAAACCATTTCACAAGCCTTTTTGTCTTGCTTGAACCAAAGTTGTAGCGAGAGTTGCGATCAAAGCAGAGCATGGAACGAGTGCCTGAATGGTCTTTGTTGCTTGAAGCAAAATAATCAGACATATTACATTGAATGGATAGCCTGCGAGGTTTGGTTTTCTCCAAAATGTTCACGTCCCTACAAACTTCAAAAACCTTCTCCTCCCTGCTCTCAGATATGCAAAGTTCTCTTAGCAAATCATGGATGCGACATGTCTTGATTCCCCCATCACTTCTCCTTCTTCCCACTTGAATTAAGCTACGATCAATGAGCTCAACCAAGTAGTCCTCTGCAACATCCTCTGTAATTCTCAAATCACTGTGAAGAATGAATCCTTCGGCAACCCATAGCTGGATTAATTTTCTAACAGGAATCTCATAGTCTTCAGGAAACATACCAAAATATAGAAAGCACGGCCTTAATTTTGGAGGCAAGCTATCATAACTAAGTTTAAGCACTATATCTTGTACTTGTGTTTCTGGTTGAGTGAGATATGAGTTGACATGGCCCATGATCTTAGACCATTCCCGGTATGACTTCTCCTTGTTTGCTAGAATTCCTGCAAGTACCACAATGGATATTGGCAAGCCACCACAACTTTCTGCCATTTGCTTGCCTAGTAACTCTAGATCAGAAGGCACACATTCTCCTCGAAACACCATCTTTGAAAAAAGCTCCCAACTTTCTTCTTCATTAAGAAAAGGGAGAGAGTAAGGAGGGGATGAGCTGGCATGAGAAGCCACCTCTTTCAAACGACTGGTAATAAGGATCCTACTGCTTTTATTATCATCTGGGAAAGCATCTTGTAAGCCATCCCAATGTTGGGGTTTCCACATGTCATCCAACACTATAAGATACCTATTCCCTTTCAAACAGTCATATACTTTGTCTCTCAATTCTTCCTCACTCAAATTATAAAATTCATCATATTCAACTTTGCCTTTGCCCTTTGATTTTTTCTTATTCTTGCTACTGCTATTGTAATTGTGAAAACATGCATTTGCAGAGATTGTCAGCAAGCATTTGAGAAGGGTATGCAAAAGCTCTCTAGGTCTATAGTCATTAGACACATAAACCCAAGCACGACAATAAAAGCGATTCTTAACATAATCACTGTTATAAATCTTGCGAGCAAGAGTAGTTTTACCCAATCCGCCCATACCTATGATGGACACCACATTGCGATGCAGACCCCCTTGCTTGAGGAGATTGATTACTTCAATTGTGTCTTGTTGAAAACCCACCACGTCATCTTCTTCCACGTCCCTTCTTCGCTTGTGTAGTAGTTGTAACTCCTGATCTTTTGAAGATCCTGCTGCTTCCTGGGTGTCGTATTTGATTCTGTTCTCATAAATCTGGTCGATTCTGACTTTAATGTTGTCTATTTTCCCTGCCACATGGTGTAGCAGCTTTGCATGGTCTACACCGTGGAGCATCTTGGACACCCAACTTCTCCTTTTGTGGCGGGCAACATTGGCAACATAGGTGTCGATGACATCCTCAGCTTCATGTGCGATGTCTGTGATTTGACGCACAACCTCTTGTTCGATCTCCTTCTTCTGTGTGTTGTGGTCGCTGTTCTTAAGGAAGACAGTCATCATTCTGAGCTGACTCTCAAGGAGCTTCACTTTGTCCTCCACGCCACATAGCAAATTGGCTTCGTGTGCCACAAGCCGAGACAAATTTTCCAGCACAAAACTAACTGCGCTATCAGCCATGAAGTGTGCACGATCAACACTAGAACACTGAAACAAGTGATACAAAATTTGAAGCACGAGACACTGCCAAGACGTTGGAGGATTTAAATATTAGCTAGTGCCATCAGCATCATCCCCCTTCCACGAGGTTGCCTCAAAGACTAAAGGTCAAGTCTTTATTGCCATCGGCTTGGTTCAGTTTGGCCTTTGATGGAAAAAAAGAAGAAGAAAGGATGGCGTGTGGGGTTTGGAAGTGACAAAAGAAGCGTGTGGGTCCCCCAAAAATTAATATGAATGAACCATGAAGTTTCGGAGAAGACTTTGGAAGAAGACTTCGAGACTAAGAGAAGACTTCCTGTTGCTGTTCATGGTTTTTTTCTATTTTTTTTAACGAGAGATTATGTGTGTTGCTGTAAGTTGTAGTTATTAGTACTAGGTGGTTTAACCTTTAATTTTTTTAGAATCGTAATCAAAATATATAACTTTTATTTATCAATTTATAATCTCAACAAATGTATTTACTGTTTGGAAATATATTTTAAAATATATTTATTGTATTCAAGTAATATTTATTTAATGTGAATGTTTATTTCAAAATGAGACTTTCAATTTTAATCAGTTGAGAAATAAGAGTCTATGGCACTTACACAAACAAATTTTAATGTGTTCCTAATATTTATAATTATGAGAAAATTAAGTTTAATTGAATGAGTTAGTTTTTCACAATATGGTGAATAAAAATTCAAATCCCTATTAAAAGAGATACTTATATTTAGTGCTTCATAATGTCTTGAATACTGGGTCTGCTTGGATTAGCGGTAGAAAAATAATGTATTTTCAATCTGATTTTTTTTTAAAAAAAAGTGAGATTGGGTAACAATTGCATCCAATAACAAGAGAATACGTGTGCGGCTGTGTGGCTTTTCCCCTTTTTATTCGGTTTCTTTATTCGGGCCACGGAATACTTAATGTGGCTTTATAAAAGTATCACCTAGATATTTTGACTACGGTTACTTGTTTATATTGCATTTTCTTCTGGTAAAAATTCTTTTACATTTCAAAAAATTATTATCCTGTGTACATACTTTTTCTCCTTGTAGATATGCGTTAATTGTTATATTTATTTATGCTTGAACGGAAAATGAATGCACCAGCCGTTGAACAAAAAGCTTTGTGCCTTAATTAATATGATTTTCCGCTAATGATGATAAGACAATACTTCCTCTAATTCCAAAATGTAACATCTATCTAATTGAGGGTTGGATTTGGTTTTAAAACATCACTTCATATTATCTTTCACATCTATTATTTTTTTTAAATTTATTCACCTAACCTATAACAAAATTCTATTCTCAGTCTTAAATATAAGATCTAGTTGACTAATTTGAAGATATTAAAAAAAGTTAAGTAAATTATTCTAAAATATTATATTTATCATTTTTTTCCAAAATTTTTTTAGCTTATAAATTGATATATAATCTAATGATACATATAAGTATTTAAAAAAAAATAATGTAACATATGCTATAATTAAGTTATTTTTTAGCTTTTTTAATTTTTTCAAATTAGTGAACTACGCGATCTTATTCCTAAATGTAAAATCTATTTATCATATTTATCAATTTTTTAAAATATTTTTATTAATATTTTCTCAATCATAATTATGTAGGAGATATGGAAAGAATATTAAGGGAAATAGTTATCGTGTTTTAGAAAAAACATATCATATTTTTTTATAATTAACTAACTTAACTAATATTTTTAATCTAATCAAATTAGTTAAATAAGCCTTACATTAAGGATCAAAGAAGTATTATTACATAAGAATATCTTAAAAGATTATGTCACGTTTAATATTTTGTATTTCATTAACCCCCCTCACGAGACAAATATTTAGCTGACATTGATAAACACAAAGTTTAATTCTTTTAGTGTTGTATGGTTATCTCATAACTCTTCTATTCCGAAAGGGAATAAATTTAATGAAATATTACATATTTGAACATTATTCAGTCTCTTTAAACGTAATGCTGCAACAAATTCACTTTCCTCTCTCGTGGTAGAATGCATTTCTCATTTTGGGAAAATAGAAGTATAATGGGATGTTGAAGCGATTAGAGAAGTCATTATTTGTAATGACTTACGCTACGGAACAACTCATACACTCTGAGATCCATATCGAAGAAGATTTTAATAAGCATTGTAAATGAAATGTTACAACCCCTTTATAATAGCTGAACTCTGTAATTAACAATACAACACATCATTTCAAATCACTCATTCTCTCTCTGTCTCCCAACATTAACACATTTATGTTACCTTTCCCACCTAGCTTTAGAGATAGTGAGATTGCACCCTTCAAACGCGAGTTCACGCGAGTTCACCTGATGCTCAGCTTTGAAAGCGGCGCCGTTGCGCCATTTTAACTTTGAGCGGCGCCCCCTCCCATGTGGTCCCACTTCCTCATCCTTCCTTTGCTCTTCTTCATTTTTTATTTATTTTAAACATCTTTATAATAAAAAAAATTAAACATTGCCATTTTTTTCCCCTAAAAAAATTGTCATATACGTTTTTAGTTCTATTTATAATATCTAAAATTTTTTGTCCTATTTACAAGTACACCATTAAATTTTTCTCATAAATATATAATTTTATCCATTATTTATTACTTTCTCCATTTTTATTTATAAGCTTCAAATTGAGAGAGATGTGTGTCTCTTTTTATAATTTTTAATTTATATTTGTATTAATATTTAATTTTTTTAAATTTTGCTTTTAATTATTTATTCTTTCTCTTTTACCAAGTTCATTTTTATTTATTTTTTCTCTCACTTTTTTTTTCAAATAAATAAGGACATATTTAGGAAAAGAAGTATATTTTTTCACCTATTAATTTCTTTTAACCGTTTTTTTGGTTATATGCAAATCGATTATTTAAAACTTACAGAGAGGGAGTATTATGTGAACTTTAGATTTTAGGGGTAAAATGCTCCCTCCTATTCAAAATATAAGTTTTAAATTTTTAAAGGGGTCTGTTTTTTCAATAGGTTTTAATTTGAATTATGTGATTATTTAATGTATTTTTTCATTTTTACTTTTAATTAGTTATATGCCTTTTTTATCTACTTTTTCCACTCATCTTGGGTGTTCTAGAAAAATAAATTGTTTTACATATTTATTTTTTTTAATCAATTTTAAAAACTTTTCAAGTTGTGTAATTTAGTTATTTCAAGCTTATATTTTAAATTGAAAGAATTAACTTATAAATTTTAAGATAAAGTTAATGAGTGTTAATATCTTTTTTCTGATTAAACATGTTAAAAGTAATTTATAAATGAAAGCAAGGAGTATATAACAATTTTTATTAATTCAATATACACTTTATCTTAAGAGTAGTACAGTACAAAGTCCACATAATAACACATTAAAGATAAAATTGATACTTATGTAAAAAAAATTAATGATATGATTTATAAATAAGGTAAAAAATTTCTCTTTACTTTATAAATACGAGTATGATCATTTTTAAGAAACTATAATGTTTAATGTTTTTTAATTATAAAGGTGTTTAAACTAGTTGAAAAAAAACAAAATATTGAGAATAAAAAGAAGAAGCTGGCAAGAACAAATAAAAAAGAGACAAGGACGCGGAAGGTTACATAATCATTGCAAATGAAATATCATCATAGACACTTCAAAATCTCCAAACAGTTCTTTTCATTTTGGTAAATAATGACAGAAATATACAAAATACAAGACATGCATGGTTCTGGATAGCTTCCACAAGAAGTCAATTGAAGATTGTTAAAGTTTAAGCAGCTGTAAAGCAGTAATTTTCAATACAACACATCATCTCTGTCTCCCTCCTTGTACATCTATAATGAGATTGCACCCATCTCTCATGGGTCGACTTTGGAGCTGCATCTTCAGCGATTCAGAGGGCCTTATTACTCGTACCTCTCGTAAGGAAGTCAAGGACCAGAGTTCGTTAGGGAGAGCAGTCAACCTGTCGCACTTTGCAATGACCAAACGTCTGAGACATGGCATTACATCTTTACCTAATTCCCAGCGAGAGAGCTCCCACAAATCTTTCATTTGAAATACCTCTAGTTGGGGGAACCCGTTAATGCAACGGAACTCTGACTCATACCATGGTCCTTTTGGAAACTCACGATCTCTTAGTTTCAAAATTCTGAGGTTGGTAAGACTCCCCAGAGTGCTCATGACATCATTGTTTAAGTTCAGAGCTGAGACTGCAAGCTTTGTAAGGTTGGAAGGAAAGACATTGACAGATGTTGGAATATCAGTAAGGCCATAAATCTTCAATGTATTCAGATGCTTTAGGTTTGGAAGGTGTTCCCAGAAATGGCCAACTCCTTGTTTATGCTTGTCACCTTCACGAAAATGCAAACCCAATTTCCTAAGCTTTGGGAATACGCCTTTACTTATTAGAGTCATGGCAGCTGATTTTTTGTGTACAGCAACATAGGATAAGGTTTGTAGATTCCACATGGTATTACTTTCTACATTTGGAAACTTTGGTAAAATCACAGGTCCATCCGTATGAAGATGCCTCAGTCTCTTGAGCTTCCACATTCCACTGGAGAAGGCTACGTAGCCGTCGTCTACCATAGATCTATCACGGCCCAAGTCCAAAGTTTCTAGATTCCATAAATTGCATATGGATTCAGGAATCACACAGCCTATTACTCCAAAAAAGTCTGGTAGCAGGTCTGACAGGTTTATTCTTAAGTACCTTAGATGCACTAACATGTTTAAATTGGCAGGGATCTTAAACTCACGAGACAATTGAAACGGTACATCCAACACTCGAACAAGTTGAAACCATTTCACATGCCTTTTTGTCTTGCTGTTGTAGCAAGAGTCGCGACCAAAGCAGAGCATGGAACGAGTGCCTGAATAGTCTTTGTTGCTTGAAGCAAGATAATCAGACATATTACATTGAACGGATAGCCTGCGAGGTTTGGTTTTCTCCAAAATGTTCACGTCCCTACAAACTTCAAAAACCTTC